GGGAAGGGAAGGGAAGGGAAGGGAAGGGAAGGGAAGGGAAGGGAAGGGGGAAGAAGAGGAAGAGGAAAAAGAAGGCAAAAAAGGCCAAAACATTGAGAACATGAAAAAAAACTTCCAAATACCTGCAATGTCCCAGAGCTGCAGCCGAACCGTCTCCGACTCCGACCACTGCACCACCTTCAGAGCAAAATCCACTGGGGAATTCCCAAAAGAGCAGGAAGGAGAGCTGCTCAGGGCCATCCTGCACCTGGGGGCTGCTCCTGCACAGCCTCTCCCCACCTGCCAGAGCCCCAGCCCAGCCCCAGCCACGGGGCCACCCCAAATCCTGCACCAGGGTCACCAGCCAAGCACAGCTCCAGGCTGGATGGGGCTTGGAGCAACCTGGGGTGGGAAAAAGTGTCCCTGTTTATGGGGTCAGAGGAACTGTGAGGTCCTTTCCGAGCTGAATCACCCCACATTAACCTGGCACAGGGAAAGGTGTCCCTGTTTGTGGGGTCAGAGGAGCTGTGAGGTCCCTTCCGAGCTGAATCACCCCATGTCTGCTGCCACCAGAGAGTCAGAAGGGGAAGCCCTGTGCTGTTCTCACATCCTGATGTGTCAGGCCTTCAACCTGGCAGCCAGACCTAGCTGGGCTGGAAGTGACCCAAACCAGGAACAGAGCACACACAGAAAAGTCCCAGGAGCCAGGCTGCAGCACTTGCTGCTGGAGGGACCAGGGCTGAGCTCAGAGCTCTGTGCCTCTGCAGTTTTCACCTCTGATCCATCCCCTCTAGGCCAGCAATAAGAAGATTTGAACAGCCGTGCTCAGCACCCCCAGTTTGGGGTTCTTGGGGGGATTTCCTGGGTAAACCCTTGGCAGCTCCTGCTCCTTGCAGGTTGTTCCCTCACACAAAGAACCAAAATCCTGCTCAGCCCCATTCCTCCTCCCAGAGCTGCCCAAGAGCTGCTGACCCCTCAGCAGCAAGGCCAGGCTGTTTAACTAAAGCCAAACCAGCGTGGCTGCTGGTTTTACTGGGATGAGCTGATCCTATAGCCTCAGATTATCCATTTTGCAGCTCCTGGGGGGCTATTCCAGGGGCTGGGAGAAGGATGGGGCACCCCAAATGAGCCTGACAGAAGCTCCTGGGGGCTCAGGGCTGTTTAATTAATGCCAAACCAGTGCTGCTGCTGGTTTTACTGGGATGAGCTGAGCCTATAACCTCAGACTATCCATCTTACAGCTCCTGGGGTGGCTGTTCCAAGGGGTAGGGGCACCCCAAATGAGCCTGGCAGAGGGACAAAAGCACCTGAGGGCTTCAGGGCTGTTTAATTAATGCCAAACCAGTGCTGCTGCTGGTTTTATTGGGATGAGCTGAGCCTATAACCTCAGACTATCCATCTTACAGCTCCTGGGGGCTATTCCAGGGGGTAGGGGCACCCCAAATGAGCCGGGCAGAGGGACAGAATCCCCGGGGGGCTCAGGGAAAAGGGTCTGGCAGTGAAGACCCCACAAACCACCGATGATATGCAGCTGCTCCCACCCCAAACTCCCAACCCCACTGCCCGGGGAGGACGGGGGGAGTTCCCTGGGGACGAGGGGCGTAGTGCCAGACCCTGGGAACCCCCGGGAACCCCTCGGGAACCCCAGGAAACCACCGAGAACCCCCCGGGAAACCCTCAGTAACCCACGAGAACCCCTGGTAACACCCAGGAACCCCCTGGGAACACCCCGAGAACCCCGGGAGCCCCCCGGGAACCCCCAGGGAACCCCAGGTAACCCCGGTAAGCCCCAGGGAACCCCTCGAGAACCCCCGGTAACCCCCGAAAACCCCAGGGGACCCCCAGTAAGACCCAGGGGACCCCCCGGTAACCTCAGAGAATCCCCGGTACCCCCCGGGAATGCCCCCCTGGTAACCCCCAACCCCCCGTAGCCCCGGTACCCCCGGTACCCCCCGGTAGCCCCCGAGAACCCCCCGTAGCCCCGGTACCCCCCGGTACCCCCGGTACCCCCCGGTGCCCCCGGTGCCCCCGGGCGGGCTCACCCCCCACGGTGGATTTGTAGTGCCGGTTGAAGCTGTCGTTGGCGTAGCGCTGCACCAGCGAGGTCTTGCCCACCGTGGCGTCGCCCACCACCAGCACCTTGAACATCCGATCCTGCCCCATCCCGGCCCGGCCCGGCCCCGCTCGGTCATGTGCGGCTGGGCCGGGGCAGCGCCCGCGCCCCGGGGCTGCCGGGAGCTGTAGTGCGCTGCCTTCCGCCGGGGCCGGCCCGGCGGGGCCGGAGACGGAGCTGCGCGATCCCCGGGAGCGGGTCCTGAGCCTGCACCCCCAGATCCTCCTGTGTGCACGCCCAGATCCTGATCCTGCACCCCCAGATCCTGATCCTGCGCCCCCAGATCCTGATCCTGCACCCCCAGATCCTGATCCTGCGCCCCCAGATCCTGATCCTGCACCCCCAGATCCTGATCCTGCGCCCCCAGATCCTGATCCTGCACCCCCAGATCCTGATCCTGCGCCCCCAGATCCTGATCCTGCACCCCCAGATCCTGATCCTGCGCCCCCAGATCCTGATCCTGCACCCCCAGACCCTGCCCTGTGCACCCCCAGATCCTGATCCTGCACGCCCAGACTCTGATCCTGCGCCCCCAGATCCTGATCCTGCCCCCCCAGACCCTGCCCTGTGCACGCCCAGATCCTGATCCTGCACCCCCAGACCCTGCCCTGTGCACCCCCAGATCCTGATCCTGCACGCCCAGATCCTGATCCTGCACCCCCAGATCCTGATCCTGCGCCCCCAGACCCAGAGCTGCACGTCCCCTGGGAGCAGATCCTGCTGTGTGCACCCCCAGATCCTGATCCTGCACAACCCCCTGAGAGCAGACCCTGCTCTATGCACACCCTGTGTCAGCAGATCCTGCTCTGTGCATCCCCAGATCCTGATCCTGCACCCCCAGATCCTGCTCTGTGCGCCCCCAGATCCTGCTTTGTGCGTCCCCAGACCCTGCTCTGTGCGCCCCCAGATCCTGCTCTGTGCACCTCCTGTGTCAGCAGATCCTGCTCTGTGTGCCCCCAGACCCAGCCCTGCACATCCCCTGTATCCCCAGATCCAGCCTCTGTACCCCCAGCCCTGTGTGCACCCCCAAATCCAGCCCTGCACATCCCCTGTGTCCCCAGACCTTGCTCTGTGCAGCCCCAGCCCCATGCACCCCTGTTCCCCCAGATCCTGATGCTGCACCCCCCGCCCTGCACATCCCCTGTACCCCCAGATCCAGCCCCCTCTACCCCCAGCCCCATGCACCCCCTGCACCCCACAAACACCTCTCCCATCAGGTTTTCATTTTTAAACAAGGCTCCCTTATTGCTGGGATTTCTCCAAGGTCTTAAACCCCAGCTGCTTCTTTCTGCACCTCCTGCTCCTTCCCCCAAGGAGGAAATGCCAACAGAACCCCCCAGCCCCAGAAGAGCAGGAGAAGTGCCCCAGCACCCCAATATTCACCCCAATATTCACAATATTCACCCCAATATTCACCCCAGTGTGAGAAGCCAGCAGGGCTGGGGGGCTGCTCCCCAAACCCAAGGCTGTGTTTTGGGATTCTGCACCAAGACCCTGCTCTGGGGGCACAGCCCTGCAGGAAACACCAATTCCTGCAATTCCAGGGGTTTTTCTGCACCCCAGAAGGGGCAGAATCCTTTTTTCCCCATGAAATCAGCAGGAACAGGCAGAGGCCACGTGGCAGGAGGGCCTGGATCCTGAACCAACACCTGGATTCCTGCTGGGAGTCCCCAGGAGCTGCCAGGACCTGACCAAGGGCACCTGGCACTCACACTAATCCCAGCTTGCTTCATGCCCAGCAGTTTATTTGATTTTCGTAACTCTCCTATCAAAAGGGAGCTCAAATAAGCCTCAAAACTTGAAAGGGGCTTCAACCTGATGGAAAAAAACCCACCAGAGTCCACATAAATAAATGTCATCTTTATTTAACCAAATATAATTTATCCATTAGGTCGACATCTGTCAGTTATAGGAACTATAAATAATTAAGACAGTCTTTTTCCTTTGATAAAAGAGTAAACCAGGATTTTCATCTGCAGGCAGCTGTAGAGCAGGCATGCATTGGAGTGCAACCAGTGGGAAGAGGCTTGTTTCTGGTTTTTTTCCATCAATATTCCTCCGTTTTAAATTAAATTCTTCCCTGACCATTCCCCAAGCACACCTCTGACCATATTTAATGTACAGACCCCACCACCCCCAACCACGAGGGGCAGATTCCTCCCCCAGGGAATCTTTTCCTGGGGGATAACTGGTGATGTGACAGCAGAAAGGCCAGCAGAGCTTTTCTTTATATCCACAAAAGCTGTAGTGTTAATGGAAGGAAATCTTGCATTTCATCCTTAGCATCAGGCAGAGAAATCAGGTGAGCAGCTGAGAATATTCCAGAAAATATTCCAGAAAATATTCCAGAAAATATCCAGGATTCCCTGGGCTGAGAGCTCAGCACAGCAGGGACAGGCTGGGTTTTGTGGTTGGGTTTTTCCCTTTGAGCACAGCTTTGGCCAAAGGAGAGCTGAGAAATGTCACCAGAGGGGACAGAGGAGGCTCAGAGCTGCTCCCACACGGGACACGGAGCACAGGAGGAGGGGGACTCAGCCTGATGCTGGATTAGCAAGGGGAAAAAGGGGGAAATCACCTCAAAACCACACCACCTGCTCTTCTGAGGAGCAGCCAGCCCTGCCTCCTGCTCACCTCCAGCAGCAGGGAAGGGTTTGCAGAGCTGCAGAGAGGGCAGGAGCAGCCAGGAGCCCTGGATTTGCAGAATTCCATCCTGACCCTCCTTCCCAGCAGCATCATCTGCAGCCAGGCCCAGCTCTGCTCCCAGCTCCTGGCCTGGCACAGCGAGCCTGGACTAACTTTGGTCTCGGTTTGCCCCTCTGGGTGCACCAGCCGTGGGTGTTCTGCCCCCCCAGCACGGCCTAAGGGGAAGAGCAGGAATTCCCTGAGGGGAGCAGCACAAAAAGCAGGAGGGGAAGCAGCAGAGCAGGGAACCCTGCACTCCCAGGGCCTCCCAGCTGGGCTGAGCCCCAGCCCCAGATTTTACACACGGCCAGGAGGTTCCTGCTCCTGCTCCAGAGCCAGGCCTCCTGTGATCCTGCATTTCTGCTTTCCAGCCAGCAGAGAAATCCCAAGGACGTCCTTCTCTAACAGACACCAGGAGCAAAATGCTCCTGCCCCACTGGGAGCACCCCAGGCTCGGCTGGGGCAGCTGCTGGGTGGCTTTTCCTGCCTGCAAGGGGCCCCTCAGCAGCCAGAAGGAAAGCTGGGCACAAAACCCGGGGGCTGTCTGTCCATCCAGCCCTCTGGAACGCCAGCTGCACCGAGCAGAGCCAGGGAAATGGAGCAGCACCAGGAGGGCTCAGCAGGGCCTGCAGACGTCTCTGGGATGGTGATGGTGATGATGGTGATGATGATGATGGCTGGGGAGAGCTCCCAGCCCCTCTGGGCCAGGCTCAGAGCAGCTGAGCCGGGCTCACCAAGGCAGAGCCTTGCAGCCTGGGGTGGGTGGCAAAAGGGAGCCGAGGTGGCAGCAGAGCCCAGGATGGGATTGGGGTCCCAAATGAGCTCACCCGCGTTCCTGGGGTGAACACGGGAGCCTTCCTCACCATCCTCCTCACCCCCCTCACAGACACACCCCATTTTTGGGTGTGGGCCCAGGCTGGAGCTTCAGAGAGCCAAGGCAGGGGCACGCTGTGCCCTGAGCTGGGCTGGAAGGGGCCAGCTCAGCTGAACAAGCCTGAGCTCCTCCTGCAGGGTTTAAAACGCTTATGAAGCGAAAAAAGCAGCACTTCAACCTGGAGGGAGGGGCAGGGGGGGCTCCCTGCAGGATCTGACTGAGCAGGAACTTCTCTGGAACCTTGGTTCACACATAACTGCTACGAAAATTGCACTTAGTGATTGTCTCGTTACACTTTTTCTTGGTTTGTTTGTCCTTCCCAAAACTAGGTAGATTCTTCTGTACAAACTCGGCTTGAAATATAAACCAGGTAAAATTCCCATTGAAAATAATGAGAATCCAGTATCAAAGGTGAAATCTTCCAGGGGGGCGGCAGGAGGGGGAAGCAAAGAAACAACAAATGGAAGGAGGAGAGCTGTGGGAAGGGAGGAGCAGGGAGATTTAATCCCCAACGTCGGAGTCCCGGTCACCGATGAGCCAGAGCACGTGGAAGCTGAGGGCCAGCAGCCCTGTCCCAATCAGGTCCCCCAGGGCTGTCAGGTAGGGGATGGAGAAGTTGTCGGGGTCCAGGTGCCTGCCCCACATCCAGTGCACCATCCAGTCAGCGATGTAGAGCAGGATCAGCACCTGCAAGAGCCACGGCAGCACAGCCTGAGCCCTGCAGCCCCACAGCAGCACAGGCACCCCTGGGGAACGACAACCCCGTGGGCACAACAGCCTCACAGCAGCACAGGCACCCCTGGGGAACAACAACCCCGTGGGCACAACAGCCCCACAGCAGCACAGGCACCCCTGGGGAACAACAACCCCGTGGGCACAACAGCCCCACAGCACTCTGCCAGCCCCAGGGAGCACAACCACCCCAGGGACACAACAACCCCATGGGCACAACAGCCCCACAGCAGCTCTGCCAGCCCCAGGGAGCACAGCCCCAGGGGAACAACAACCCCCTGGGAATAACAACCCCACAGCAGCTCTGCCTGGCCCAAGGAGCACAGCCCCAGGGGCATAACAACCCCACAGCCACAATAACCTCATGGGCACAACAACCCCCTGGGAACAACAACCCCACAGGCACAGCCCCATGGGCACAACAACCCCAGGGGAAAAACAACTCTACAGGAACAACAGTCCCACGGGAACAATAACTCCAGGGGAACAACAACTCCATGGGAACAACAACCCCACAGCCACAATAACTCCAGGGGAACAAACACCCCACGAGCACAACCATCCCATGGGCACAAACATCCCACAGGAACAACAACCCCATGGGAACAACCATCCCAGGGGAACAACCCCACAGACACAACAGCCCCATGGGACCAACAACACCATGGGAGCAACCACCTCATGGCCAAAACAACCCCACGGGCACAACAACCCTACAGGAACAACCACCCTCTGGGAACAACCATCCCACGGGCACAACAGCCCCACAGACAGAACAACCCCACAGCCACAATAACGC